CATGTTCTCTGGTCCATAATCCTTCAGCACTGCAAGACAAAATAGTCCAAGTGAAACCAGGAGCTGTTCCATATTTAGCATTTCACAATGGAGAGCACAGATGTTTATGGATATCATGTCCTCGCCAAGGAGAAGTGATAAGTCATCTCTCAACCCTTTAAAACTATTGAATGGAAAATACAAAACATTATCGGCATATAATACTTAATGAATAAGCAACCTTAAACATTATAGATTGTGTTTAATAGAAATCATATGCATAGAGATGTTAATGTATGAAGGTCCAGTGCAATGACAAAGATGGAATACTTATGATTATAAACCTTCCCTTTTCAAGCAAATATATCATAGTATTCATAGTGGATTTATTGTGTATAATACAGCACTGCAAAAGAACATTAAATTTTATCTACATCCTTGAATAATGCACCTTCCTATATTTGCTTTTGTCATGGCAAAGTGTTCCAGGCAAACTTCATTTTGTGCCAGATCACATGCAGAACATAGCTACAGCAAAGAAACAATATGATAAATTAAACATGTCAGAATATCCTTTTTGTATTGGGTATAATTGGTATAGGACCATCAGACAACAAAATGAGATTTGACCAATGAGCTTTAATATGCTATTTTACACTGTATAATATTTACAAGCAAATTCTATACATGAATTTAATAGACAGACTTCTCTTACTGATTGTAACATCAATTATTTAGTAATATTTATCCTCACCCTTAAAGCATGACAAAACATGCAAAACTCCCCAAATCCTCTACCCCCAAGTTCAAACTTGTCATCACCAATGTTTGCAAGTAGTAAACAAAAGTCTTTGTAATCAACAACAACTATTAAGATAAAATATTAGGAAAAATGAATGCTTTGGGACAATACATAATGATGTCAGAAATGTCAGGCATAATTAAATAGACAATTGGACAAACAGCACAACATATGATTATAATAAAGACAATAGCACAAAGTTCACTGCATCAATTGCATTGATTTATGTGTAATTCCGACTCAATTCAATATATGACGTGCGCATATGGCAACAGTATAAAATTTAAAGATGCTATCAAAAATATACACAAGAAAGTATTATAAAAAAAGGAATTTAGTATGAGGACCAGAGTTACCATCATAAAGAAGCATCATTACTTTTGAAATTAAAGAAGTAGTGTACTCCATCATTTACAATTCCTTCCTTTTTGATGATTTCTTTTTGTTTTTTGATGTTTCTTGATGCTCGTGATGCTAACTCGCCCAATCACGTCTGGGACAGCTTTCAACTGATCCTTGACGTGCTCAAACAAGTTTCAACAAGAAAGACATGACTGGTTGAAATTGCTGTGTCTGCAATAGTTTTGWGTTGGCATGCAACGATTAAAACAAACATGCTTAAACACGTTCAACCCTGCCAACGAATTTCCACTTAGTCAATGCAAATCGTGAAAGTTATGCGACCCCTTTTAGCATTTTGACATTTTGAACTCTACCATCTAAACTGTCGCATTAACTGATACCTTATTAATGAAATTAATGATTTGCGAATACTTGCTCCTTTTGCTAAAAAAAGGAACATTCCGTTTTATATAATCACAGCAGAGCGTAGGAACGCTACACATAAAGACACGTTCTGTTTCATATAATCAGAACAAAACATTTCTTATAGATAACCAAAAGGGAACAATGTTCCCTTTTCAGATCAATAGGAACGCTACATAAACTATAAAAGAACGAATTGTTCCTATTCTGTTCTATAGAATAGCAACAACTGTTCCAACTGTTCCTTAGTAGTTACCAGGTACAACAAAATGGACCTCTATCCAGTTAAAAAGAAATCGCAAACTAAAAGGGATCGAGATGTTCCGATTCATGTACATTTTTGTTCCGATTGCGAGCAAACATAAAMGGAACGCACGYTCCCAATTACGTTCTTCAATTGGTTCCGAAATAGCGTTCRAGGAACAAAAACCAAAATTCGCGGAACACTTTCAAAATCAGTAATTGCTTGCGATGAATAACAGCTTTGTTTTCGAAATTTCAATTGCCGCTAAAATGATTTTGACACTTTCATGTACACTTTCACTTTCATCCACAGCAATTTTCAAATTAGTTGTGATTGTAAAACGGGAGAAATGAAAAATCATCAAATTAGGGAAATGTTGGCTTTACCTCCGTGTAAGAACCTCACAACTGACGTCATTTATGGTGTTCTTATCACTCAATTCTCCCAATACATGCCTTGCAGTATATTAAATTTACCGATTTTGTCTTGTAGTATATTTGTCTCGTCAGTGCATTTGTCTTATGTAGTATATGTGTCTTGTAGTGTTTGTGCCTTCGTTGTTGTTGTAGTTTACAATGTATACCAAATATTGCAAGACTGCAACATCTGGGACGGCTTGGGACAGCTGGGACGACTGGGACACTTGGGACGGCTGGGACACTTGGGACAGTAAASAGTGTAATTGACCTAACAAAGTTGAGTAAATATTGCAGTGGCATCGCAAAAGAGTTTCAATAATAGTCAATTGATTTGAACTTATTGCAAAATTAAAATATGATACAAAATATATCTCTAACTTAATTTAAATGCAATCAAATTGAGCTTAAATAATTGAATAAACTGTAACTGTAACCATATTAATACTATGTATACTCTGTTAATGTAAATAGAACTGTAACTACAATTTTTTTATGATCCTCAAAGAGAATACTTTACTTGAACTTTTAACTGTAAACTATTATTATGTAATGGAACTGTCCTGTAACTAAAATATCTTAACATATAAATATCAGAACAAACAGGACGAATGTGGGCGTCGAATGTGCCATGTTTTGTTTTGTTGTGATATAGTAATATAGTTCAATAACAAATTTAACAATTAAAATAGAAACATGGAGCCCAAACAAAAATAAAATTTAAGAAAAAATTAAGTCTGCTTTGATAAGTTCAAACGTGCCTGTTCCTTCAACAGTGTTCTGAAAACTTGGTCATCATTCATGAATGAAATAACCTTGTTAGTTATTTGCCTGACAGTCTTGGGGTAGATATCCTTGTTATCTACAAACTCTACATATTGGNCTTTTTGAGCTTCAATGCTAGTAGAACAAGATGTTGAATCTGCTACTTGCACTGCCACTGCATCATAATGCCCAGGTCCCTGATTGTCATAGGCTAAATAAACTGGAATAGAATGTAGAGTTTGTGCTGGTATCACTGGGAAGTTAACCATTGGTGTGAAGACAACCACTGGGAGCTTTAACACATTAGCAATGGCAAGAGGCATTGAATTGCCCAGTTCACTGTCAAAGAAGCCAACATCAAGAAAATGCTTTGCTTCAATTTCAAGTGGCATACCACTTGATAAAAACACTTTGTAAATATCTGAGTTTGAAAGCCATTCATTAACAACAAGCTGTCTTAACTTGCGCGAGATATCATCTACATTGTGCAAGTTCAATAATCCTAACTGCTCGATGTGTTCCATTGTAGCATTAGAAATAGCAGCATTTGGTATAACTGATGTCATTATTGACTGTGCAACTGAGGCAAAAAAATAGTTTCCATCTGGCAGCACTGGCACACGAACCATATTGAAACTAGATAGCACATCATCAATGGCGCTAGAGGGTGAATTAAAGACATGAAGGTTTCAACAGAGGCAGTGAACTATTGCCAAATATTAAAGTTGGCAGAGTTACCTTAACACCTTTTCCATTTGCCTGTAGCTGTGATATTAAGTCTTGCATGGACTTTGCAGAACTGAATACATATTTTTTATTTTCTTCAGTCACCTTTTCTATACATTCATTGTCATCAGCAGTGCTGTCACTGTAATCATTCACTTCTTCATCTGAGTCAGTTTTGTTTCCATAAAAATATCCGCTGATTTTCATGAAAACATCTGTTGAAAAGTCTCCCTCCACTGTAAAAATTTCTTGATGTTGATTATTAGTATCACTTGTAAATAAACCTGAATCATCATAATCAAAGTAAGACTCTACAGGAGCAGTTACTCTGACATTACTTTTGTCAGCTCCTTTTAACATCTTCCTCTCATTCCAGAAATAAAAAAACACTCCAAGAAGTGCCAATGCAAATTGTATACCAATTCTGGACTTTTTCAAACTCTTGTTAAAAATTCTGTGGAGGCCTTCATTTCGATTAGTTCCACCAGAAACAATGATATCAGAAAGGCACCCCTTTTTCACATGAGATAACAATTTATCAACTTCTGTGATTCCTTTTTCAGGGATGACATATTCACCATCAACCTGAACTGATTTCCACTGTCTAATGAAAGTATTTATGTTACTTTCTATGACACTAATTGAGGCTGTTGCTTTAGTCCTCCTTTCACCTTTGTCAGATGGACTCCGTATAATCATTCTATATATAAGTCAGTCAGCATTTGAGATCTTAATTTGCTCAATACAGTGTGTGCTCCCCTATGTTTAGGGATTGTTGCTGTAAATCTTTGAATTCCATGAAAAGGGTCTACAATTGTTGCCAAAATACCTTGGACCGTACAATTATTTGCCTTGAGCCTAACATTTTTCTCCTTTATTTTTTGACAGTTTTCCCCCGTAGCCCCCTTTCATCAATGTTGGGTCTTGTTTTTGATGCTTGTGTACTATGGTAACATGATCAATGACAACATTGCATTTAGGGGGTCAGGGGGGATGAAATTGTCTGCGGGTGTTTCTTAAAATGAGGAAATTCGCTGGAATGGTCCAAGATTTTTTTCAACGATTGTAGCTTAACATCAGACTCACTGAAAACGGAATTTACTTTATTTCTCCAATTGCAGCAGTTGTCTACATAAAAATGAGAAATAGGGCAGTTCAGTTCATCGAGATTTGCTTTTAGTTCTTTTAATAAGTTCTCTACCAAAGAAAAACTAGTTCCCTTGGTGAGCTTCCAATCCATCACATTTCCATTCTCATTCATTACAATAAATAAGCAATCATACAATCTAAACCACTTTCCATTATGCCAAAACCAATGTTAGCTGGTACTTTGAATGTATGGTCAGCACTGAGGGTCTTAGCATTCATCTGCTTCATTCTTTTTTTATATAAGTTCTCTTTCATGTTGTAATCCTCAATAAAGCATGCTATAATCATCTTTCCCCCAACTTTGCTTGATTTTGGTTGGAAAGCAGGAAAATCAGTTGCACGGTTCTTTCGTATAAAGGCATGTTTCCGTAATCCATATTCATCATAGAGGCTTTGTACCCATAACACTTGCACATCTTCAATAGTCATGCCAGCTCTCACATGAGAGATGAAGAACTGGAACAATTCTCGCGTAACACCAGACTTATGAAATAATACAAATGGAACTTGATCAAGTTTACTAGAAACCAATGCACGGGATCATAAACTACCAGTTGAGGATGAATTCTTGATGTTTATGATGAAGTTAAARCTTGGCTTGACYAACTTAGATTTGGCCATAAGATTTTATATTTCACAAGGCAGGGTATCGAACCTAGTGAATTCATGGCTGATATACTTGTATACCTTCTTTGGAAAGCTGAAGATATGGCCACATCGTGATGTCATCATTRAACAAATGCCTTCAAAGTTCAAGGAAGAATACCCATCAACTATGATCATAATAGACTGTACAGAATTGAAGATAGAGTGCCCATCATCATTGCTGAAACAGTCTGAGACATATTCTAACTATAAATCTACAAACACTGTCAAAGGTTTGGTGGGGGTTGATGCTAAGGGTGGTATAATGTACGTATCACACTTATATACTGGGCTTATTTCAGACAAAGAAATAGTCAAACGAAGTGGATTTATGAAGCTTTTGAAGAGAAAGATAGATGTTGGAGAGATCCTAAGGGGAGATAGCATTATGGCTGATAAGGGTTTTGATATTAGTAGTGAGCTTTCTGAGATTGGCCTAAATTTAAACATCCCTCCTTTCCTACGGGACCAGTCTTCATTTAGTGAGGATGATGTCATTAGAACCCAAACCATAGCCCAGCATAGAATACACATTGAGAGAGCTATAGGCAAGGTAAGGCGGTTCCTTATATTCTCAAAACGACTGCCTGTCAGTATGCTAGGTAATGTTAATCAGTTGTGGAGTGTTTGCTGTATGCTTTCAAATTTTATGGACCCCATATTGTAAAGTGGAGATCAGAATAAAAAAGAAGTATGTTCTTGATTACATTGTATTCTCTGACTCAATTTTTTTAAAAACACTTTTGTGGACAAGAATATATAATATATACATGTATATAGTGGCCAGGTGAAAACAGGACCAGTGTCCAAGTCCTGCCAAGACAATTCCCTTAGCCTATCATGAGCAAGAGCTGTTGAAACCACCAGGAAGACAATACCCTTTTCATTGTCGAATAATTAGCACTTGATGACTGGCACTGAGGGAA